GGAGTAGGCCATTCAGCCCCTTGGGCCTGCTCTATCTTTCAATACAGTCATAACTGATCCTGTCAGGTCTGGCAGCATCTGTGAAGAAAAGATCAGAGTTAATGTCACCGGACCTGAAACATCAACTCTGATCTTTTCTTCATCGATGCTACCAGACCTGCTGAGCTTTTCCTGCAACTTCTGTTTTTGTTCCAGATTTATAGCATCCGCAGTTCTTTTGGTTTTTATTTCATAAGTGATCCCATCTTGGCCTCAACTCCTTAATGATGGTTTTAGACAATTTCCTGACGGCAGATGTTCATCTAAGTGGTCTACATTTTCCTCAAAATCCAAGGCCTCAGACACACTTTACAGTCTAAACAACGATTTACCTGCACTTCACTCAATCTAGTCTACTGTATTCGCTGCTCACAATGTGGTCTCCTTTACACTGCGGAGGCAAAACATCGACTGGGTGACCACTTTGCAGAACACCTATATTCTGTCCGCAGTAATGGCTCTGAGCTTCCAGTTGCCTGCCACGTGAACAAACGAGCGTGTTCCCTGGTCAGTGTTTCTATCTTGGATCAGTTGGCAGTGCTCAGCACTAGTTGAAGGTACAGCATCCCATTTTTCCACTTGGAGATCTTGCAGCTTTGACTTCAAGGACTTGGAAAGTGGAGCACCATCTTCCACGTCTTTTATCCTGCCCCACACCTCCAGGCCCTGGCGTGACATGGGCTGCTTTCAGCATAGACAATCCATTTTTGCCAACTTATTGTCCCCATTATCAACAATCGAGCTTCTCTTACTATCTTACTATCAACTATCCCTTTTGTCAACCTAACTTTTTTTCCCTTTCTCTCTCTGTCATCAAGATAGAATTCATAAAATCCCCACAGCGTGGAAACAGGCCATTTAGCCCAACCAGTCCACACTGACTCTCCAAAGAGCATCCCACCCTGACTCAAACCCACACCCTATCCCTGTGACCTTGCATTTCCCATGGTTAATCCACCTAACCCACACGTCCCTGAACACTAGGGGCAATTTAGCATAGCCAATCTGCCTAACCTGCACATCTTTGGACTGTGGGAGGAAACTGGAGCACCCGGAGGAAACCCACACAGACACAGGGAGAATGTGCAAACTCCACACAGACAGTGGAATTGAACCCGGGTCCCTGGCACTGTGAGGCAGCAGTGCTAACTGAGCCACCGTGCTGCCCTGCTGGAATTAAAGAAAGGAATAGTATTGTTTTTTTCAAAATTGTATTTTTTTTTAAGATAAATCCCCCTTCTTCCTAGCTACTGTCAGTTCTGAAGAAGGGTCTCTGGACGCAAAACATTAACAGTGCTTTCTCTCTACAGATGCTGCCAGATCTGCTGAGTTTCCCCAAACAATTTGTTTTTCTGAATTTCTTCAGATTTCCAGCATCTGCAGTTCTTTGTTTTATTTTACTGTAGTTTCCTACTTGCTGCCTCCCTCCCTTTTTGAATAAGAATGTTACGTTAACACTTTTTCAGTCCATTGGAACCTTTTCAGAATGTGGGGAATTTTGGAATGTTATAACCAATGGATCCAGTAACTCTGCTGCCGCTTCCTTTAATAAGCTAGGATTTATGTCATCAAGCCCCAGGGATCTGTCTACCTTTGACCCTGACAGTTTGTTCAGTACTATTTCGTCAGTGATACTGATTGTTTTAAGTTCCTCCTTTCAGAGTCATGGAGTCATACAGCACAGAAACAAACCTTCGGTCCAACTAGTCGATGTCTACCATGTTTCCAAACAAAACTAATCCCACCAGCCTGTGTTTGGCCCATATCCCTCCAAACCTTTCCTATTCATGTACCTGTTCAAATGTCTTTTAAATGTTGTAACTGTACCTGTATCTACCGCTTTCTCTGGCAGTTCATTCCACACACGAACCACTCTACGTGGGAAAAAGTTGCCCCCACATCCTTTTTAAATCTTTCTCCTTTCGTGTTAAAAATAGGCCCCCTAGTTTTGAAATCCCTAACCCTAGGAAAAAGACCCTTCTTGTTTACCTTATCTATGCCCCTTATGACTTTATAAACCTGAATAAGGTCACCCCTTAACCTCCTCCACTCCAGTGAGAAAAGTCCCAGCCTTTCCAGTCAATTTTTATAACTCAAACCCTCTATTCCCAGCAACACCTTGGTAAATCTTTTCTGAACCCCCTCCAGTTTAATAACATCCATCCTATAACAGGGTGACCAGAACTGTACATAGAACTCTATAAGAGACCTCACCAACGTCCTGTACAACCTCAACATGATGTTCCCAACTCCTATACTCAAAGGTCTGAGCAATGAAGGCAAGCGTGTTAAACACCTTCTTAACGCCCCTGTCTACCTGCGACGCAAATTTTGAAGAATTTTGTACCTAAAACCCTGCCTCTCTGTTCTACAGCACTACCCACTTTTTAATTTTAAAAGTTCCTTCCCTTGTTTATATTACCATAATGCATTAACTCACATTTATCCAAATTAAACTCCATCTGCTGCTCAGCCCATTGACCCAATTAATCAAGATCTCTTTGTAATCTGAGATAACCTTCTTCACTGTCTACTACGGCACCAATTTTGGTGTTATCTGTAAACTTAATTCACTTGCCAAATCTGTACTCGTGCCTGTGGAATTATCTCTGCTTAACTCTAGCACTCCAATTTCTCACCCTCAAGCTGAAATTCCAGCATGCTATGATCACTCTTCCCCAGAAGGTCCTTTGCTCCGAGATCCTTAATTAATCCCATATTATTGCATAATACCAAATCCAGAATAGTCTGCTCTCTGGTTGGTTCTTCAACATATTGCTCCAAGAAATAATCTGTAATGCACTCTGTGAACTCTCCTTTGCCAGCTTGATTAATCCAGCCGATATGCATATTAAAATCACCTTTCTTACAAGCCCTCCATACTTTCTGCTTTATACTGTATCCTATTGTGGAACAGCTGCTCGAGGTAATGTTTCCTCGATGTTTTCTGTACAGTGATCAGCACCAGCATACTGATTGTGACATTGGCTTTAGATTTCGGAAGCTGCTGCTGTGCATGGACCTCAGGCTTATGTCACCGCTAGGAAAATTAGAGAGAATGCTAGTGAGGGGATCTATAGATTACTCCCACAAGGGGCTTCTGTCCCTCACCATTTCTTATTATATCCAGACAGGTTTTACGTCTTGATCTCCAATGCCAAAATCCATTCTCATTGGAACACTGATCTATTGTTTACTGACACAGCTACAGACCTCCTTTTCCTTTCTACACTAACCTTCTGAAACTCTCAGTACCTTTGGGTATTTAACTCCCAAGCCTGCTCTCCCTGCAACCATGTCTTATTAATTGCCACCAAATCATGCCCATTTGTTTCTACTTGCGCAGTTAACTGATTAATTTTATTCCAAATACTTTGTGCATTGAGATGCGAAACTTTTACGTTTGACCTATTATTAAATTTCCCTGCTCTTGTATGATTCCTTGGTGCAATATGATTTTCACACACTCTGTCCCCTCTTTTTATTTTCTGGTAACAATCAGCCCCATCACTAACCTGCAATCCTACCTTTACCTTACACTTTGATTCTTTTAATTCTCCATGTAACTGAACTCCACCCCCAATATTTAGTTTAAAGCCCTGTCCTCAGCCCTAGTTATGTGATTTGCCAGGACTGTGGTCCCAGCATGATTCAGGTGGAGCCCATCCCATTGGAACAGCTCACTCCTTCCCCAGAACTGGTGCCAGTGTCCCATGAATTGAAAACCGTTTCTCCCACACTAATCTATGAGCCACACATTTACCTTTTTAATCTTATTGACCCTGTGCCATTTAACTCGTGGCCCAGGTAGTAATCTGGAGATTATTGCCTTTGTGGTTCTGCTTTTTAATTTAGCTTTGAGCTGCTCATAATCCTTTAGCTGAACCTGTTTCTTCTTTCTACCTGTTTCATTGGTACGTACTTTGACTGTGACATCTGGACCTTTCCCCTCCCACTCCAAGTTCCTCTATAGACCAGATGACACATCCCGAACCCGGGCACCAGGCAGGCAACACAGCCTTCAGGACTCTTGATCCTGGCCACAGAGAAGTGTCTATTTCCCTGACTATACTATCCCTGATTCCAACCACACTTCTCCTTTCTCCCCCCTGTTGAATAGCTAACTGTAGTGCTATGGTCAGTTTGTTCATCCTCCCTACAGCCCCCAATCTCACCCACACAGGGAGCCACAGGGAGCCACAGAGAGTGTATTGGGTTCTGGTGAGATTGACTTGGAATGGGGGAGGGGAGTGAGTGAGCAATGAGCAGGAATGTATTGACAATGGGAGAACAGATTGAGCAGGAAGCCAGAGAGGCTCACTGGAAGTGCGAGGCGGTTTAGGGTGAATTGAATGTGTTGAGAACAGAGATCAGATTTGGAGAGGAAAGCTTGTCCCATTGTTTTTGAAAGGAAGGAGAGTGCCAGTCAGCAGGAAGCTGTCACACTGACCTCAGCACAGAACTATTCTCCCAGGGACAACCCAATGTCTCAATCCAATCAACACAGACCTTTCATCTCATTGCACACATTGGTGTAAATACTTAGTTGCAGTATCACTGAGAGAGAGAGAGAGAGGGGCAGGCACTAACTGCAAGCAGCTCTGAACACACATGATGAATCCATTGTATCTCAGCAGGGACCTCTGCCACTCACCATGACATACCCAGAAGTGCCCTCCTGCACCAACCTTACTCCTTATGCCCTCTGCCCACCCGCTTCCCTGGTCTTCCTCCTCCAAATGCCAGCCCCCCATCCACTGCCAGCTTCCCAACAGCCTTTGCAAATAGACCCAACACCCACACCTTAGCCTCATTCGCCAGCCCTGTCGTCTCCAGTTCCCTAAAACACTCCTCCCTGTTCACCCACTCATGCTGACTGTTCACCCGCACACACACAGTGTTCACCAGCCCGTGTGCGCACACTCAGATCTGTAACTGATGAGTGTTTACTTTCTTTGCAGGCTAATTGGAGGTCTCTGCGCAGTGATTTTTTCAGTTTGAACCCATCGCAGCTCCATCACATGCTGAGGGAGTACAACCCGGGCCGGCCATGCCCACCGGTGTGGAACCCCGTCCAGGAGGACCAGCAGGCAGCACTGAGAACAGGTGAGCACCTCATTGAAGGGAGCACTCCCCCCCCGCCCATCAGCTAAACACCTTGCTGCATTGTTTCCACTTCAGGCACTCACTGCAACATCAAACACTCCCAGGACAGCGACAGCACAGGGTTAGTTACAGAGTAAAATTCCCTCAAT